CGGGGAGCGTTCGAGACCACATCAAGCCTCCGCCCGCTTTCCACCGCCGAGGGGTGTTTGTCTTTGCGAGAACCCAGGTTCTTGATGTGATGGCGTGTCTCTGGTGATTTTGGATTTCGAGTGGGATGCGCGGATGTGTAACACTTTGTACCGTCTCAAGATGCCTATAACTGTAGGATCCAAAGGCGAGCTGATTCCAGGCCGATGAAGCATCGACTTGGCCCCCTGGCTGTCTCGAGCTTGCACTTTCATATCATTTCCAACACGCCGCGGTACTGCCTCCAAGATGAGCCAACAAACGCCATCAACCTTGTCGTCCGCCACGGATGGGAAGCAGTACGATTCACCCTTCTCCAAGATCGCGAATCAGTACGGGACTAACTCGAAGCCTTGGCCTGTTGAAGCCTGGGGGCAGACACAAAGAAACTGAGTGAGGTTCGAATTGCGCGGTGGATGGAGGAACCTAATGCCCCCGTCAACCACTCTATGTTAGCATTTGGGGCCTCGTCAAATAGCGGTCAGAGAGGTGGCGGTCTCAGTCAAGTCGATGACCATGCGGGGAATGCTCTTTTGTCCGCATTTGCTGGCCAGGGAGGGATCGAGCTGTCGCTCGAGTCAGTCGAGGCTGAACTGAGGGATTTTTGAAGACAACATCGTCTGTCATAACTTGCTCCTCTGCTGAGTGCTCACTTGTAAAATTGTTGTGACGGGGTGCCGCCTCATGCGGCAAGAATGCGCAGGCGGATCAGGCAAATTTCACGATAATTGTGAATCCTTCGTGTCAATCTACTACGAGCCCTTAGCGAAAATCAAGGCGTTTGTGTGTCATTTTACTAGGATCACTTGCTCCGCTCTGCTGCTGCTAGCCGTGATGTCAAGTTGTGTCACATCAGCCTCCATTCCTACCGTGACGTGGCTCTCGAGTCAACGCTCCTCGGGCCTCAATGCAAGTGTGAAAGAGCCACGTGGTGGGAGGTATCTCTTTTACAACAGAGCTCTAGTGACTTCCACCCACAGCTCCTGCCTGTGCAATAAGGCCTTGGTTTTTTTCGTGGAGAGCCTAATAGGTATCGCCAGAGGCTATCACAGCATTTTGAAGGGCCTTCAAAGCATCCAACGCGGCGTGGGTGGGAGGTTTACAGTGCGTGGTCGGAAAAGAGACTTCTTCCACCACGTGAGAGCCTCAGACTCAAACAACCTGGGCACCGGGACAGGAGCGGCTCGGCATTGTCTGGCGCACGTTGCTGCACGTTTGCTCGTTGCAGGTCTGCACTTTGCTGTTTCTCACCGTCCAGTCGAGCCCGAGAAATCGAACCTGCAATCTGCAGGTTTGCGGGTGACTGCATTCCGATTATGCACTCGGGCAAATTTCATGATGAAGCGCTCGAATGGGTGAGATGGACACTGCTCTTCGACATGGACCTATGAAAGCGGTGGCAGCAAAGGCAAGAGGTAACGGGACGAGGGACCTGGTGGGACCTGATCTCCGGTCGCTCTTTCCACATCTCTTCGTCATACTCCAGCCGCTCACGGCACACATGTGTCGATTCCGTGCTAAAACCCTGCGACGAGGCAAGGACATCCTTGATCAGAAACTAAACCTCGATAAATCATCATGATCAGGCCAAAGAACCACGTCGGGCGCTTCAACCACGCCAATCACGGCCGAATCCAGAAAGGGAAACCGCAGAGTCGCCGCCCTCGGCAATCGCCGCCCAAATCCGAACATCAATTCGCGTGCCCCTTTGCGAAGCACAACCCGCGCCTCCACAGAGACTGTCTCAAATTCAGGTTCAGCAACGTCTCATATCTTCGCCAACATCTATGGCGGAAACATCTTTGTATTCAGTGTCCCAAGTGCGGGCTGAAGTTTCCTGACAGCAACCCAGAAAAGAATCGAGATGAACATGTTGCAGAAAGAGGTTGCACAGCACAGGAGTTTCCCCCAAATACCGGCATGATCACAGAAGATCAAAAGGCCGAGATCGACCGCCACGGAGAAGCCTCTATACGCGGCACCCCAGCAGAGAAGCAGTGGTACAAGATCTGGGAGATCCTTTTTGAGAACCAACCGCACCCCGCCTCGCCTTACGAGGTCAGCTTTGCGGAACAGTTTCGGCGTGTCATTCGATCATACACCAACGGGGGTGAAATGCGGAGACTGATTGAGAGATTCGACATCGGAAGTCATTGTCTTCTCGATGAGTTCTCAGCACTTCTTCTGGAGGGCCTTGGCCAACATGCTTCAAGCCAGAGGGAACAAGACAACCCCGACCAGAACGCTCGGAATTTCCCACAGGGTCAACTGACAGGAGAACTCCACACATATCCCGTGGACGGAGGATTCAATTTCGGCCTCCAACAAGTCAACCCGAGTCTTCTGCTCGGATCCTACTCCGGTGACTTTGCAGCGACCCAACCTTCAACATCACCATATCTACAACAGCCATGGCATAACAGCGGCCTCCTTGAAGGCCCCTCTCTTGAGGATAAGCAGAGTTCACTTTTCTGGTAATGGTGAGTGAGAAGGAAACCGGATGATCTTTCGAGAGGAACTTTTCACTAACATCACGCAGGTCAACAACCTCGTCATTGTTTCCTTCACACTGCCTAAATGGGCCCTTCCACCGTCCCCGCGCATTCATATCCCCGAAACCATAGCAACCTTGAGTCCCCGTACCCAGCTGGTTTTAGACAAAATCGGCGACATGCCGGTCGATCATGCGGTCGAGAGCGATGATAGACAACCTTCTCAGGCCTCGCGACTCCTCCCCGGAAGTCCCCTTCCTCACAAGAAACTCAGCAGTGGCACGTTGTCCGTTTGCGTGCCAGAAGCTCCGAAGCCTTCCGATCTCACGAACAATCTCCACTTCGCTTGACAGCACAGGCCCAATGGAAGGCCAGTCGAGGCCGGGGAACACGACGGCCCAGATAACGAACCATTGGTCCTCCTTTGGACGTCCCGACTCGCTCGGACGAGCCAGCAGTTCTAGCTGTCCACGCGTGACAGACGTGATGGCAAGTTGAGGATCAGGAGGGGCGGCTGTGCAAAGGTCGGCACGGACATGGCGGTCCCAGTCCGTTCTAGTATCGAAGATGGAATGGCAGATCGGACAGTCGTGTGGCCGCTTGTGATATGCCCACACGTGCCTCTTCACATCGATGATTCGTTGCAGATTGCTCCGAAGACACCTCTTGTGGGTTGACGGATCATGGGCGAAGAAGGGGCAGGCAAGCCCAAGCGATGCGTCATGTGGTTGAACGTCTGGAGCGGAACCATTCTTGAACGCGGACAGGGCTTGCTCCGCCAGCTCAGCGCCGAGAATTGCGAGCTCGTCGCTAGCATCTAGCCTGGGAACATCACTGCGTGGATAAACGAAGATTGAGGTATCGGAGTCTTCGTCAAAGTGTTCGGACATGGCGTATCAATTGGTGTTGATGAATGCCGTTCGTTGGTTGCAATCTCAGGAGGACGATCAGAAACGACGACACATCTTCACTCATTTCGTTTCCCTTTTATTAATATTCTGATAGTTCATGAGCTACCCTATTTTTCTTGAACATTTCGGAAAGCATGTGAACCGTAAGTCCCACCCCCCATTTCGGTGTCCATTAGGATGCAAGTGGTTCAGCCCCACCTTGAACAGCATTGGTCCGATCTTGAACCTCAGACGCTCTCCTCGCGATCGGGTTTCGTGAGAGGACAGCCGAGCCCGTAACGGACCGTTAGCCAAGCTCCAAAGTGAGCCGCCTCACCATCGGAACTTGTTTTGACTGGAGATGAGGAATCGTCGGGGGTCCGGGGGATCGCGACCAGACCTACACTCCAAGCCCCATCTTCACCGCCCCAGCATGCTTTCTTACTCATTCACATGCTTACTCCCCTTCATCCCCCTCGAGAATCCGCAGCACCGATCCCAGCACTCCCACTTTGCCCTCCCGATCATACGCGCCACAGCCTTTCGGGACGGCACGCCACAAAAGCATACAGGGTTCGACTCTTCGACCCCCCTGCGGTCAGCCCAGCTGACAAGCGCGTTGCACGCTGCGCAAACGTAAAGTGGCCGCCCGGCATTGCCTTTCTTGTTGTCCGAACGTACCTCGACGAAATTCGAAGCAGTGTTGCACCCCGGCTTGTGGCACTTCGGCCCGTAGGTTTTCGGCCACGGGGGGTTTCCATCCTCGGTCTTGGGCATAGCCCAGATCTCGGCGAGGGTGATGAAGATGCCGCGGGTCTTGAGGGCGGAGCAGTATGAAGCGGCGATTTGGTGGGGGTCATTTGGTCCTTTCCATGATTCGACGAAGGTGCGGACGCGTTGGATGGATTTTTCGGTGTCGGGTTTCTTGTTGGGGACACTGGCGATCGCTGGCGTTTGGCTGGGAGAGTTGAGAGGTTTTGAGACGGATTCGGAGTCTTTAAGCCTTTCGTACAGGGGATGAACTGCAGGGCCGCTGCAGCTTGGAGATGAGAATGCGGTTGAGTCGGTAGGAGAGTCGGGAGCTGTGATGGGTGTCCCCTGCTCAGGAGCTGAATGCAAACGCTTGGATGGGGTTTCCTCCGGTGCGTCGTCCCCCGCACGGCGCTTGATACCGGATCGAGGGGTTTGAAGTGGAGGCATCTTTGAGAGTGACATGTTCTGTTCCCCCAAGGTGGATGCAATTCCCGTTGAGGAAACGAGGAGCACGGGAAGAGCCCAGGAGCAGAACTAGCATTTCATATACGTTTGAGAAGTGGCAGAGAACTCTGCAGCTACAAACCAAACGCAGAGTGTCCACGCGGCCGGCTGCAGAATCTCTCCTCCCCCTGCTTTACTGGTGCTGTTGGGCGTTTGCACGCCCCTGTCTCTCGGACGGCTGCAGATACCTATAGGTACTGTCCGCACATAAGAACGCCCAACCTACCTTAGGTACCTAGGTAACCAAAGAGAACCCCACCTTCCCAACTTGATCGGCCAATACTGCAAAAAGAAAGGCGGATGGATGTTTGTTGCCGGGAATTGAGCCCGATGTGGGGGTCGAACCCACAACCTAGAGATGTCAGATCACGGAGGCCTTAAGAGTCTCACGCTCGACCTACCGATTGAACTAGCCAGGCGTACGCCTTGAACTTTGATGACTTTCTGTGCGATTTCTTTTTGGCAATATGAAGGGTGTTCGTGGAGGTGAATTTTGGGAGGCGGACAAGTGCGACTTGACAGAAGAGGACCGGGAATTCAAAGCGTGCTTCGTTGGCATTCCCCAGCGTACCTAGTCCTTTTCTCTCTCATGTCTAGGGTTTCAGATCACAATGACAATTTTCGCAATCCGGACAACTCGCATACGTCTCAACCCTGGCCATGTCCGTCGTAAAGTCCTGCTCCAAAAGGCCATAATCCAACACCTGCCCCCTTCCCTGACCAACCCGCCCGTCATCTAGTCCCAGTCCCTGTACGTTGTTGTTCGCTTCTGGGTCAGTCTCCGAAGGGGCTGAACGTTGGGCTGAAGGTCGATCACGGGAGAGCCAGCTCCACAGCCATCCCCTTGATCTCTGTTGTTTGAAGTCGTCTTCCAGTCTTGCAAACTCGGACTTCATGAAGTCCAACCAGTCCGAGTAGTCGATACTCTCCGCCGGATGCACCAAGCTTGATGGCTGGCTGGTGACGATGCCCCAGTACACCCTCGCTCGCTCGCCATCATCAACTCTCCAGTACGCAACAGCCAACGATATCACCGCCTCAGCGACAGAGTATCTCAACCCAACGCCGTCTTTCACATCCGCCCACCCCTCCTCCAAGATTGACCCTTCGACAACCCCTTCAGAAAGCAAGAGGCGCCGCCAAGCATCCAAAGCCTGTGGCCAGCGCCCCCGCAGATAGAACGACCTCGCTCTCAACCGCCCCACACTGGCTAGCTGTGCCGCCACCCTTGGTTTCCCTCTTTGCCCGGGATGCAGCAGGTCGGTTTCCAGACCACGCAGCTGTTGATCAAACGTGTCATATCGTCCCGTCTGGAGCAGCGCCTCGCACAATATGAGCCGGAAATCAGATGAGATGAACTCAAGCCGGCGGTTCTCGGCGAGAAAGCGAGCAACGCGAGGTTCGATCAGCTCAAGCGCTTGGTCGTATTTCTCCTGTTTGCAGTAAAGCTCGCCGAGCGTGACAGCGGCCCAGTTGAATTCGTCCAGTTCCTCGAGAGGGCCGGAGGGGTTGGCCGTGGCAAGCATAGCTTCCAAGTCCCTGGTGGCATCGTCGAAGCGACCTAGGTAGACAAGGTTCTTGCACACGGCGGATCGTAGTTGGCGGTGGATACGCGCTTCCAGACGGGATGGTGCATCAGGACGAATGGGCCTCCATAATCGGAGGATCTCCGCAGCAAGGGGGTAGTTGCGCTGCCAGAAGAGACATTGAGCACGATGGAGGACCAGATCCCCAATGGCCGCGTTGTTGCGTGCAGACGTCATGGGTGCCGAGCCTGTACGGTGAGACACCTCTTCGTGGACGACAGCGATAAGTCGTTCCGCTCCTATTTTGTCACCGCGATTGAACTCGAAGTATGCCCGCCACTTGGTGGCAAGACAGCGTTGCCAAATGTCGGATCGATAGCGAATCAGAGAGTCCACGTAACTGAGCAGGCCGCGGTCCTTATCCGATCGGCCGACACTACAGAGAAGCATGAAGACTAGCGGCCCCTGGACATCTGCGAGGGCAGCAGGGGGTGCCCCCATGATCTGCAAGGCGCCGAGACAGTGGAAGACGTGGTTGATGATGACTGACCAGTGAACTTCAAAGTTCTTGTCTTCGAGGCAGGGCTCCTCCGGGATCGCATGGCTGACAAGGCGGATGACGGTCATCAGCCACCGTAGTCGGTCTTCTTCGGATAGGCCCCGAATAACAAATTGCTGCACAAGGGGCTGGATCTGGATACTGGTATTTGAGCCGGTTTGCTGACGCTGCAGAAAGGTGGCGTTCAGGAGAGGTCGAAGGGCCTTCTCAAACTGAACCCTGTCATGGAACAAGCGAATGATGTCGGCATCAACTCCATCCTGAAGCGCGGTTCTGACCTCCTTTTCGCCGTTGTCATTCCATCGCGTTCGGTCAGTCCAGAATCGTTGAAGCCTTGCCATGTGCCAGTTAGCATAACTACGTAGCTTTCCGGAACGGAAGGGGAAAAGGACAAAGGGGGCAACCTCGGTGAGACCTACAGTAGTGATCGGATATCGAGTCCATGCAGGAAAGAAAAGAGAATAAGCAGTTTGAGGGACGACTCCTGACGTTTGATCCTCTCATAGGCAATAGACCACATAGCCGAGCCATCTCCCATGACCAGTTGACTGGATTTCAGTCGCATGTTGTTCTTCTGGGTGTGGATATCTTGCAGCATTTGTAGCGGACCGTACTGCATTTCACGTAGATATCTTGCACCAAATGATATGTAGAAAGGTGTTCGGTCCAGTTCTTCAACAATCTGGCTGACGTAGATTGTGTCAAGCTCTGACAGGTCCGGCAGGGCGGCGAGGGTGATGAACATGTTGGTTGCGTCTTCTTTTGTCATAGGGCCCACCTCGACATCGAAGTTCGAAAGCGCATTGTTGTGGATGTTCGGCCCGATGACAATTCTGTGGACGGGACTTGTCGGGGGCGGAATGTAGTGATGCAGGTCGAACCCGTTGGCCGCATCACAATTGTCGTACACGAGGAGGCAGCTCTTCTCTTGCTGAAACCAACGTAGGACCGCATCGCACTTGTTGTGATCGGTGATGCCGGCTTTCCTGAGACTTGGGTCGTTTCGCTGGCCGAGAGTATCATAGAAGCCCTCCATTTGGGTCCGAAGGATCTGCTCACTGCTGGCATCAAAGTACTTGACCGTATCGTACTCGTGGCCGTGGTCGAGAAGGTAGCGCAGCACAATCTCTGACTTTCCCACCCCACGTTGCCCGTGAACAGCTACGTGCTTGTCCCGCTCAGAGCCGGCGAGGAACGAATGCAGTTTTGCCAAGCACTTCTTCCGCCCGACGAATTTTTCTGCGCAGCCGGGAATTTCGAAGATGCGTTCTCGTTGAGCAGGAGGGTGATGCGCCACCGAAGGGACCAGCTTGTTGGTGAACCGTCGGAGATGGTGAACAATACGAAGGAATAGGACATCTTTTGGATTGGCAAAGCGGGCAATAGTGTGGTGATCCTTCCCGATGGCCTCCTCGAAGACTTCATTCTCGAGTTCGAGCCTTGCTCTATCCAAGGGCACCACCTGTCACGAAGTTCCACCTTGGTCAGAGATTGTGCTGATAAACGCAAATCACGACCGACCAACTGACTCACCTTTACACGAAAAGCATGGAATCGTTTGGTACGCAGGTCCTCTCCGAAGCTAACGATCCCGAGGTCCGGTCTCTCTATAATAGAGATTAGTGCCATGACCCTTTCTCGCGTGCAGGTAGGTGACGTACTTGCGCTGTATTCCTTGAATTTTGTGGTGATCCGATTCAGCTCCACCGAGCCAACAGAGAGAAGGTCGAAGAGCGGCCTAGGGCTATCGGCAAAGAACATGACTCTCTTGAAGATGTTGGCGAGCTGCGAGCCGCCATGAGGAGTGCCAAGGAAGACAATACCAACGGTAGAATCTTGAATCAGCTTCCGGCCCTGCACTCGGTCGTCCAGCGTCAAGGCGCGCTGGACAAGCAAACCGCCAAGACTATGTGCAACGAAGATCAGTTTCCGGTGCTTTTCCTCGGGGAGCTGGCGAACCAGGTCGAGTTGCCAGAGGAGAGCGGAGGCCACGTTGTTTATGTCAGCGTCCGAGTTGTAGTGCACAACACTGGCGTTCCACCGAAAGGTGTAGATGCGACAAAGGGGTAGCATGGTGGGGAGAAAGCCTGAGTCGGCCGTCCAGTCGTGCGGGCCATCGCCATCCCTGGCAACCCAGGTCCGCGACGGATCTCCGTTGATGCAATGGACAAAGACGATACTTTTAGAGGTGTCAGCATCAGGTACTCCCGGGTTGTCAAGTCAAGGTGGCATAGCATACTCGGCCTGGACAGGAGAGGAGAGGACAAGCTCCGAGCTGGGCGCCCGCAGCACGAGCCCGTAATTCCCCGGAAGGGAGCTCATTCGCGGTCGGTCAAATATCGATCCGGTTTGTCAACTCTCAGTGATTTAAACTCTGGGCGGACGGTTCTAGGGTAACATCTCCAGCCTCCGTGGGAATTCGGACTGTCAAAGGCCCCACTCGGTCGAGGTGAGCAGGAAGCTGAGGTGAAGGAGATGCCCAAGGTCAGCGAAACGGTCCAGGGGACAAGCGGGGGAGGACAAGAGCTAGGATATAGGCAACCCATACTGTGCGAACTCGCCACTGGCATCTTGCCTTGCGTGCCGTGCCTGCTCATTCCTCGACCGAGGGACAGCAAAGTCGGGCAACAGGTGTGCAGCCTGATCGGGTCAAACCGGCCAGTCAAAATGGCTCTGCAAAATGCGCACCGTGATCGTTCGCCTTGTCCCGCGATTTGGGAGAGATCGGCGACTGGCGGACGCAGAGCGCAGGGTCTCGGCCATTGGAACCCTGTGGCTGACAGGCTGCCCGCCATTCCTTCTGGCGCAAGTTCCATGGCTTGCCCGACTTCAATGCCAGGTGGGTTTTTAGGGTCGACTGACAGTGAGCCATGCCCTATGACCCCCACCCGGGCACACACCCACCTGAGAATTCAGCCGTTCTTTGCTGATGCAGGCGAACGCTCTCCATCCTGCAGCTGAGTGACGAACCTTCAAGATCCTAATCCCAATCTTTTCCATATTCGACACGAGCTCTCATCCACTCTCTGCTCTGCGCCATTTCACAAAAAAAGGCGATGATAGGTTAAAACGAGAAGCGTGAAATGAACGAGGTGAACATCCCCCCGTTACCTGAGCCGCTCTTGATTTCCGTCAGCTGAGAAACCCGTCGTTGAAGGTCACTTGGGAACACACTCTCGGTTGCAGACAGACCTCCAGCCTTCGGCTTTCTTTCTTCTAATAACAACAACCAATATACACGTGGACCTGAAGTTTGTTGCACCTCTCATCCCAGACTTGGGCTCCAGAGTGAAGGTCCCCACCAACGTACCTGCTTTCTGTCCTGTCTCTCACC